TGCCTGTTTTTTGGCCGTTTTCCAATTGTCTTTTGGCCCCAAACAGCCTGAAAATGGTCCAAAAATGGTTTGAAAAAGGCTTGAAAATAGCCCAAACCAGGGTGTTTTTAGATCATTTTCCAGGCCATTTCCAGGCTGTTTTTTGGGTCATTTTCAGGCCGTTTTCAGCCATTTTTTCAGGCCCAAAATGGCCTGTTTCTGGTTTCCGGAAGAACAGCTGGCAACAGCATGCATGCCCACAGAGAAGGCTCTGCGTGCCCCCTCTGGCACACGTGCCATAGGTTCGCCATCATGGCACTAATATCCTAATTAAAACCTGGGTCCCAATTTAAACATGCTTTGCATTTAAGAGTGCCCATGCGTTTCATTGGAAAAGAAGTGATTCAACTATAAACATGAACACTGTGCTTGAAATGGCACAGAGTCCATTGAGCGGCTGCCCAAATGAAGACCAACAGGAGGCCTTGCAATTTAACACTCCAAACTAAATGACTGACCAGCTTTTTCTCTTGTCCAATAGCGGGGGGGTCCCCCAATTGTAGACTTCCAAGTTTCAGAATTTGTAAGATTCGCAGACTTCAAGTTCTAGAATTTCCCAGGCAGCATAGCTGGCTGGCTGAGGTATTCTGAGAGTTTGAAGTCCCAACAAGCCTTAAAAGTTGCTAAAATTGAGGATCCCTGCAATAGAAGACTACAAAAATGGCAGACAAAGAACGTTGTCAAGTTCCATCAAGAATACAGTGCTGGGAAGGATTCTGTACAGTGAATCGATCCCTAAACAGGCCTCAACCACAGAAGCCTGGCGAAGCTGTTCACTGCCCCTCAAGTGCCAACAGCTTATTTCAAGGGCAGCAAAAAGAAAAAAAAAGCCAGGAAAGTTACACTATTGTTAACTTCTGTGGTTAAAAACCAGACTTCCTCAAGGCAAGTGAATGAACACGCAACTTGACAACCCGGGGAGTGAAAAACTGTTCTCCAAAGACGCCTGCAGCTATTGGTTTCAAGTCTTGCTGGCCGCTGTTGCCTTTGAACAAACTGACATGCAATATGAACTGCATCCAAGTGTCAGGCTAATGAAACATGACGATGCTGGGAAGTAAAATTACAATTGTTGACAAAGAGCAACCGTTTGATATTCTGAGACCAAATTGACCTCTCGTTGGAAGATAACTCCCCAGAAACGTGTAAGTAGACAATTAAGAACAACTTGGATTTGTTGCATGTTCTCCAATTTTTACATGTTATATTAAACCATGGCTTTGTTCTTGAAGAACAATTCTTTTTTCCTGCTTTCAAATATCAGAAGTGTTTGTATTCACCATGCTCTACTTTGCTTGCAATTAAAATTCTGCTTGACTTGCCTTTATGCAATTTGCCGCCTTGCTCAGAGGTCAAGCCACAGGAGGCATCTATAATCACCCAAAGAATCTGCTGCGCATAACAACAGAAGTTGCCAGCGGGGTCTGTCACTCACCGAACGGCTTCTCCAGACCCCTGAATGCAGGATACTTGCATTCAAGGGTGATTGGGGTACAGTGTGGTAGCTTTTAGGCAGAAATTCAAAGAAACAGACCACCCAGATCTGAAAAGCAGATGCTACAGAGCTAATTGGAGCCCGAAGGACAGAAGAAACAGATTCTGAAGATGTATGGTTTTATTAAGGTCTGTCTTTTAGAATAGCGTCCCCAACATTTCCTGCTGTGCGGACTGGCGGTGGCGAAGGGATAGTTTTGTCTGTGTGCATGCCAGTTGCACTAACGCAGCTTCGCCTGCTGCTTGTGGGACCAGTTTCCAACAGACCATGGCCCAGCACTGGGCTGCAGACTGGGGGATTTGGCCGTTTTCTAGTTATCTTTTCTTAGAAAATTCCATTTAAACTGTCTGAAATGCTTATTAAGAATTACAACCATGAAAGGCTGCTTCATTTTCCTCCTACACCTGCCAGATTAAAATCTTTTTTAAAAAATATATAGAAATATTATAAATACAAGGGCTTTTTTTTTTTTTAAAAAAGGCCCCTCTTTCTGCGTGCAATCCCTTATGACTTGAGTGACGCCAACGAGTCATTTTGCACCTATAGTAGTTTTGCCATCTTCAAGTATATAAAAAGTTCTGTAATTTGTTATGCGACACAATTCGCCATTTACACAAAGATCCTAGTTTTGCTTAAAGCTGAACTATTTTGTACTTCTTGTGTATATTTCAGCCTT